TATGAGAAATGGTGTTACATTCTGTGATGTAAACAGTGAAATGAACGTAGCGGGCAAAGGAAGATTCACAAGCCCAATCGACACAACCAAGTTTTGTAACAATATCGTGTTTGGTATCATTTTAATCAGGAAAATCTCACCAATATTTTGATGAAATTTTTATTAACGAAAAATTGAAAATAACAAACTTTTGCAGTTTTGTTAGTATTGTCTCACGGACATACCGACGCCGAATGCGATAAAGAGATGCCCCGGCCGTGTCACATTACTCGCTTGCGTGGTTCAAGGGTGGTCCCCCCTTGTGGTGGGGATAGACCATGAACAGTCATGGCGTAGATCCGAAAGAACTCTTATAGAACTTTTACCGTATCGCCAACGAGCGGAACCTTAAAATCTGTCATTGGGGAATAGGCTCGGCGGCGGCGTAGAAACCAGCGGCAAAGGACGCGACGTCTTGTTGCCGAACACAAAGAGGACGCGTGCACGGGGCCGGTGGCCCGACGTCACCGCGTACAGAGAGATACGGATTCGGAACAAAGGATCTCGCCACGAAGTGGGGAGAGTCTTGGGACTCTCTGGGAGGAGGACTGTGTCAAAAAGGCACGGCACTTACCCGAGAACCTTCGGCGAGAAAAGAATTCTAACATACAGGGCTGGATTTAGACTTGCTGAGGCCCTAAGCTATACAAAACCCGGAGGGCCCCCTACTGTTTTAAATTACATCAGCTGGTCTCAGAAAAATTTAAAATATATACTCCTTTTTAATATCTAAATGTTTAACTCAAGAGAGATTCTTAGGAAGAAAGTTACAAATGGACGAGATATTATTATCATAATTAAACGACTCATGGAACAGAAAGTTTGAAATTAAAATAGGAAAATAAAAGGTAAAAATTAAATTAATATAACAACATAATTGGTAGTATATAAAAAATTAATCTTATTGGATAGATACCCTTTGAAGTTAGCCGACATTTTAAAAACTCTCAAATAAATGCTTTTGAAAAAAAAAAGAAGACAAAATATCTCAATCACATTTACAATGCGCCAAAATTATTTTAATGTTATATTTTGTATATTCAAAATTATTTAGAAATTGTCATAGTGATATGTCTGACTTCATTTGAGTGATTTTTCTACGAGATGTTTTTTTATCAATTTTTATATTTTTCTGTTTTTTTTTTTATTTGAGGCAGATTGCAAGGCCCTCCTAAGCTGTAGCTTTTTGAACTTATACGTAAATCCGACAAATTATGTCACTCACCCTGTACAAGTCTACAAAAATGATTGTTAACGTTTAAACGGACAAGCATAATCATAAACATAATCGTTAACCTTAGGTGGTTCCGGTGGTGCAGGAGGTGCATTTGGATCCTCAACCACTTCGTCTTTCGCTTCGAATTGCCCGGAGCGGAATAACTCAAGCTCTACCTTCTCCACCTCTGGCTTCAGTCTCTTATTCTTGATTAATATCTTTCGTTTCAGCGCGCTCGGCGGTGGAAGTGGATGTCCGGGTTCAAGCTGCGTCATTTTATTTACGATTACAAAACAAACGTATTTCTCGCGGGACATTCATTCGTACGATGAACATGTTTCTCATTTCTGCTATTTTTTTTTTTTTTTTTCATTTTGTCCGTTCGCATTAGATCGAGAGAACTCGTATTTTTCAACGGACGAGTTATAAATTTTATAGAATTCCCTTACCGATGCTTGTCCTGTCCCGGCGGGGGAAAGCGTGCTTTTCGGGTCGCGTGAAACGCGAATGAAACGAGATACCTCCGCGAATTATCATTTTTAACGTCGACGTGCATCGTAAACCTCCTTGTTCGAAAAACTTTTCTAGAACTCGGTAGCTCTTGACAAATTTCGCACCGCGATAATTTACAGCTCGCGATGATTCTTTTAAAACGTGCAGTTTCTTTTTTTTTTTTTTTTTTTAGAAAATAAGAATAATGTTCGGTACGTTATTAGCAACAATTGATGCATAATCGTGAAAGAAAAGGATAAAATTATTTTACAATTTTTAAGCTGCAATTTCCTTACGAATTTTGTAATACATACAGGGTGACCAATAAAAATCGCCATCTTGAATATCTCATCATCTCGAAGAAAAGAGAAAATTTTTTTTTAATGAAAATTGTTTAGTGTAAGAGGGACCATCGTATTGGTCGTAACGATTTTTTTTTATAGGTGGAGTAACTGAAAAGATGTGAAGGTCATCTCTGTTTTTTTAACGTCATGTCATAGTTTTTTATTCATTTTTTAATAGCAGTCCTTAAGAAGTACACAAAGATCTATAACACAAGGTTAGTAAAGGTCATAGAAGGTTTGTTACATTACTACTGCTGACGCAATTTCTCTTTTAATTGCGTCAGAATTTCGTTAGGCACATCTACCTCTGTGACCTTGACTAACCTTGCGTTTTAAATTTTTATGTTCGTCTTAGAAGCTGCTATTAATAAATAAATAAAAAACTATGACATTTCGTTAAAAAAAAAAGGATGATCCTCACATCTCTTCAAAGACTCTAGCTACAAAACAATCGTTTATACTATAATTCCTTAACTCATATTGACCCTTACTAACTCATAAATATGATGGTCCTTTTCGTATCAAACAATTTTCATTCGAAAAATTTTTTTCTTACTTTCGTGGTTCCGGAGATATTCAAGATGGCGATTTTTATTTGTCCACCCTGTATAATACAGCGTAAGGAAATGACCTTAATTTTTTTAAGCGATAGCGAGAGTTGAAATAGCTTAACACAGTCACTAGTTTTATGTATTCCACTGTTGTATTACACTACGGGTTAAATACTATTCTTTCTTTCATTTTTGAAAGAAATCCAAGGGGGAGTTATTAGGGTTATTACCTACCGGATAATCTTTCAAAGGCTCTTTCAGCAGTAAATCGCCTAATATTTCGTCACAGTACTTGGCTAATTTATATTGCTGTTTCAGACAGCAGTGATTTTCAAAGCTCAAAATTATAGGATACTCTGAGGTAACGAAAGCAGTGTCCCTCAGGGCGTATATCACGTCTTTGAAAAGGATATCAGTACACATGGCTTTCCCGTGAGTTATTATGGGTTCTTCGTCTTCTCCTTTTCCATCCCAACAGTCGAGTTCTACACATCTGATGGGTATTCGATTAGTACTTTTTTTTTTTGTGTACGTTTTTTCAATAATTTAAGTATTTATTAAAAATTTCACGAATGTCGTTAACGACAATTAAATGTTAC